ATAAGTCTAAGCAGTCATTAAATAGGTAGGTCATTAAATGAGGAATATCCTTAACTTGGTTTGAGTTCACTGAGCACCTTATTTATCTGTTTTTTAAATTTCCTCTTTTTATCATTTCAAATAATTCAGCTTTATTACTTTTGATTTCCTCCAAGTGAATGCCCCATGGATCAATTTTGGGAGAGTTCAAGGTTTTGTGCCTTCTCTTCTCATATTTCTATTTGTGTGTGTGAGTGTGTCTCTCTGTCTGTCAGGGTGTGTTTGTGCGCATACCTGATGAGGTATATTCATTATAGTAGAAGACTTTGTTGCTAGTATGGATATCTCTTTAGTGTCTGATTTTCAGTGAAGTACTCTAGGTGTGGCCTTTGTGTGTGTCCCAACATCCACCCACATCCATTCATTTGGGAGGGAGTAAGGTAGTTCAGAAATTGGAATACAGAGAAAACCAGTTAGCCCATTTATGCTGAAGATTGTAACTTTTTTAATTTTTACATGAAAGTTTGAATTTTGAATTTTTGTATGAAAAGTTATGTTCCATTGTAGTGGGTGTTCCAAAAATGGAACACTAGGCATCCATGGGTTAATAGCAACAATTATGCCACCCTGTCAATAGCAAAAAAAGTCAGCACCTATTATAGTATCAAGGACAGATTGGATATTGACATACCCTAAGAATCAATAATGCACCACCCTTAACCATAGGGTACTGATCTATAATTATCATATAAACACTAAGACAAACCAAATATTGAAGTACAGTAAATATCTACTAAATGAAACAACTATACATCCATTAATAATGGAAAAGTGTTTAACAGTAATACCTTAGAGTTGACTTAAGATTAATAAAGCTTAATGGTCATAGTAGTAAAGATACAGAGGCTAGAGATCTGGAGAATGAAAAAAGTTTGAAAAGTTAATCAGTTGAAATGAAAAGGAGAGAAAAGTAAGATAAAGTATCCTACTAAGGAGTAAAAGGAAATTAAAAGAATTAGATAAAGTAACACAAAAGAAAAAAGAAGTAAAAGAAGGTGAAAGAAAAAACAAAGCCAAATAAAGAACAAAAAGAAAACATAAGGAAAACAAAAGAATCCAAACTCCTAAAAACCAGTAAAGGAAAAATGACTTTAAAAATTGAGTGAAAAAAATCCTCTATATTTTTTAATGAGTTGTCTCCAGACTTGGAACTCAGCAGGGCACAATTTTCTCCACCTAGCTTTATGGCCTGTGGATTTGTGAGGTACCCTCCCGCTTCTGGAGGCTCCTTTGCCTATATAACTTAGAACAGTGATGACAAACCTTTTAGAGAATAAGTGCCCAAACTTCAACCTAAAACCCACTTATTTATTGCAAAGTATCAACACTGCAGTTATCCTGAATACTGAGGTTTAATTCAGTTTAGAAAGAAAAACAAAACTGTTATCTGATGCTCAGCTGCTTGAGTGACTTGGCTTGCATGTCAACAGAGAGGGCTCTGCATGCACACTGCAGCGTGCATGCCATAGGTTTGCCACCACTGCCCTCGACTGTGAGAACAAGCCAAGTCATATCCTTGCTTACACTGGTAAATTGGGAAAACATTCAACCACTGTTCTCTGCTGAATATAGGCAACTGGGCATGGGTTCAAGCAGACCACTGGGCTTAATGCCAGCACTTTCAGATCCAGCCACCTCTGAAAGGCATATTTTGTGGTCCTGGCTTCTCAACTCTGAAGATGGAGCCCTGTGTCCATCCTAGGGTGAGTGTATACTTCTTAGGGGGTCTATATCTAGGCTGCACCCTCTCCGTAGCTATCTCTTATAGCTGTTTCTTGCCTAATCACTGTAGTAGGGTAACACTGGAAACCCTGAAATGAAGTTATTCTGTACTGGTTCTGTAATTCAGTTTTAAACAGTCAGTCCCTTACCAAAATAGCTCCTGATCCAACCCTCCCCAATATGGCAGCCACTGCACGAGATTTCTTTTCCTACTCTAGCTTGTTGTGAAGGAGTCACTTTCAGAGTAAAACCCCACTCTGTTTTTGTGGTTTATGATAGCTTTGGGTTTTTCTTGGTGCTATCTTTGCTGGTCCCAGTCTGTTAATTTCTCCCTGGACCTGCCAATTCTTTGGACATACCTTCTGTCCCCAGGCATTGGACTCATCCACAATCAGGTCACTGATTTGGTCAGTACTTCTGCTGCCCCATGCCAAAGTGAAAGAAAACATGAAGCAGGCTTGAAGTTGTTGGATGGCCACAGCCAGGGCATAGAATCCTTGGATGCAGAGTGGGCTGGGGCTGAGCCTACATGACTCTGTCTGTGGTTCTGTGCTTCAGCCAGAGTATGCAGACATGTCTGTGGTCACTTTGGCCAGCTTGTACCAGGAAGATCTGGTTGTTCAAATTTCTGTAAATTTGGGAGCCTGTTGTTAAACTGAACATAGCTTGAAATCAAGCATGAAATGAGTATTTACAAATGGGGAGTAAGTGCTAAGAATTGTTTTGTTAGTGCTTTTCTTTTGATTTTGGTTTTCAGAAAACCAATTATTAAACTTCTATGAGCATACTACTTTTTCAACCTCACCCCCAAATTCTAGACCAACTTCTAGTCTTACTAACCACTTATCAGTCCAATTATTTAAATATATGACGTCCAAAATTTGCATATTTTTGTAAATTTTTATAATAGGAAATTTAAAAATGACAATTTTATCAAATATGTTCAGTAGAAGAATCAAGTGGTTGAAATGAGACTTGTGTAAGTGATGTTCAGGATAGTATGTAAAACCACACTGCCTGAGTAATGCTCAGGGTAAACTGTTAAGTGATTAAACTTACTTAATTTTTTAAAAGAATTTTGCTGTCTCCTGCCTTTGTTTCCTTGCATATATTTTTCTCTTTGGATAAGATACTCCTTTCCCTTTCTCACCTGAACAACTAATCCAATTTGGTAAAACCTGGTGACCCAGTATGATGAACATGATTATTTGGGGAGGGGGGGATGACTAGGAGTTTGGTAAACATTACAAGAGCATTTGTTAAAGTCCTTGAAAATTAATAAAAATACAACCATCTGATTATTTGGCAATATCCTAAAATAGAAAGCCACCTCCTAACATAAATAAAAAGCATTTATCAAATGTAGAACAAGTACAGTACTATATAACTAGAAAACAGAAACATTTCCCCAGTATTATATCTGTTCTACACATCTTAGTTTGTGTATCTCATGTTTGAGTTTTGCCAAAGTTGGCAGTTTGATTTTTTTTTTTTTTTTGCTTAATTTCCCAGGTATACATTTATATCTCTGGTAGAAATATTTTTAGTTTATATGTTAGAAAGCTATTTGGTAGAAATAATTTAAGTGTAAAAAAATACACTGAAGAATAAAATTAGCCCATTTGTTTTCTGCTCATATAGTTTATAGTGTTTCAGTGATTTCGCAATGGCCAGATCACCTGGTGTTTATGCTCGCTATTTTTGTGGGTGGCTGTGGGGCTTTAGCCTGCTCTCTTTTGTTTTGTTCCTCTTTTTATCATTACTCTTTGTTTTATAATACCCAGGGTATTATAGAGATGGTGCTAACAGACAGAAATATTCAGTCAAGTAAAGGAGGCAAAGTACATCTACAAAAGAGTTAAAGAACTATATAAAGTAAAAAATGAGCAAAACCCCAAATAATTATATCTGGGAGGCCATTTGCTAGCTGTGTGATAGTACACATGATGCCTAATCTTTTCGAACATCCATTTTCTTATCTTTGCAATGAGATGAGGATAGTAATACCAGTGCTGCTTAGAATATTGATGATGAAATGAGACAGTATGTGTTTAAAAGTTTTAAAGATGGGCTAGGGTTAAATAGAGCTCAGTAGTACAGTGTGTACTTAACATGCAAAGCCTTCGGTTCAATCCCCAGCACCACAACAAATAAATAAAAGGTATAAAATGCTAAAAAAAATATGAGTTTACTATGATACTAATAGTATTAGAGATTGTAATGTAGAATGAAAAAAAAGAATATTGCTTAATATGTATTTGAGCTTTTTCTGGGGTGTTATCTCTTTACATTACCAAAAAATAAAAATAAAAAATGACATTGGCTGTTCAAGTACGTGAGTTACTTTTTCAGTCCCTAACATGCTTTCTTTTGTTTTTCATTTTCTTTGATTTGATAGTTTTTCTTGGTTTTAGAAATTCCTTTCTTTTTCAAACTTGCTACCACTTACTTTACCCTTGGTTTCTTGTCCCCGAAGACCAACCAAAATGTAAGAATAAATTCTTTTTTTTTTTTTTTTTTTTTTTTTTTTTTCAAAAGGTTCAAACTCTGGCCCTCGAGCTTGCAAGGCAGACAGCGGAACTACTGAGCCAAATCCCCAGCCCTGATTACCTTTTTCAGTTGGGTCTCACATTACATGCCCTTTTCTCAGCTTTACTTCCTGGAATTGAATTTAGAAAATTTTTACTTTTTGTAACAACCAAATCAAACTTACTTTCTTAAAGAAAAATGTAGGGTCTTTTATTGCAGTCATCTTCTTCCCTTACTACTACAAAATCCAGAATGCCACTTAAATTTGCAAAGAAAAGATCTCACTAAAAAATACTATAGAAATTACTGTATGAGTTTAGATTTTTTTTTTTTTTTTAGGACAGTAGACACATTTGAAATGTAAGAAAAAATGAACTATTATTCTCCTTGGTTAACATCTTTAGAGACCTCTGGGTTCTCCAGTAATCCATGAAATTTATATATAAATTCCTTTTTAATTAAAGTTTAAAAAATTTAACACTAATAAGCTTTAGATCTATATTTTTAGCACTGATGTTGGAATTGCTTAGTTCATAAATAAAATTTTTAAAGTAAATATATGTGAGAGATGATTGTACTGTGGTTTTTTAAAAATTTATCATGGAAGTGTAGTCATTAATCACAATAAAAATAGTATAACTGATGTTACTTTTATCTAATTATATTGATCTTCAAATTTTTTCAGTTGATTTTACTTTTTTTTTTTCCAGCTACATTGACAAGCTATTCTGAAAATGTGGAACGCACAAAATATGTTGGAGAAAGCAGTAAAGAATTAGGATCTGGAGGAAACCTAAAGCCTTGGCAGTCTCAAAAATCCAGCATGGACTCCTGTCTATATCGAGTAGATGAAAACATGACTGCTTCTACCTATAGTCTAAATAAGATTCCAGAGAGGAATTTAGAAACAGTTTTATCTCAATCAGTACAATCTATTCCTTTGTATCTTATGCCTCGGCCAAATTCAGTAGCAGGTAAGTGTTTTCTGTTTGTTTAAAAAAATAACCATTTTAGTGGGGTTTTGAAATAGCAATAAATCCTGTTCTAACAGATTTAAATTATGTATTCATCTTCTTTAAGCTATGCTTTGGTATTTCAGTAGTACAAGTGTGTAAATTTTTTTTTAACCTTGGGGAAAGTTCATCTTCCTTAATTGATTGCTTAGAGCTAGATCTGGTCTTAAAATACAAAAAAAAAAATCTAAAATCTGAAACAGAGCCTATAACGTATATTTCAAATTAAGAGTCTTCTTTCTTATATATGAAGTACTTGAAATTTGTAGTCTGAGGTTTTATATTTTTTTAAACTTTAGTTTTAGTGATATGTGGTGGTGCATACCTATACTCACAGCACTCTGGAAAGCTGAGGCATAAATCGCACAAATTTGAGCCCAGCCTAAGCAACTTAGAAAGATCCTGTCTCAAAGTAAAAAACAAAAAAATTAGCTATTTTGCTCATTGAGAAGATCCTGAGTTCAATCCCCCATACCAAAAAAATAAATAAAAATAAAAATTAATAATAATAATAAACTTTAGCTTTTATTTAAAAAATTAAATCAAAGCATATTTCGGTAAGTTTGTATTATCAGAAATTATCATCCATAGCTTGAGGGAGTGGCAAACAGGCAAAAATTTGGCTTCCTCATTCCCTGAGTTCAGTTTTTTCACAGTACACTGGCCATCTTACCACAGAAGAATTACTAGATACCTACCTTTCTAAAAAGTAATTGGTGCCAGATGTAGTGGTACCTCCCTATAATCCCAGTCCTCTGGAAGACTGAGCCAGGAAGATCACTAATTTAAGCCAAACTTGGACAATTTAGTAACTTAGCAAGACCTTGTCTCAAAATTTTAAAATAATTTTAAAGGGGTGGGGGATGTAGCTTAGTTTGAAGGCCCTGGATTCATTCTTCAATGCTACCAAAAAATAAATAAATAAATTTTAAAAATCAAACTAGCAAACTCAGTTATAATGGAATGATACAGAAAGCTAAGTGACTAAAATATGGAGTCATTATTCTTTAACAGCTACTCAAAAGTGATGTCAGAGAGATATATTTAATATAGCAAGTTACTATTTAATAATTCAAACCAAGAGCTTTTGCAAAAATAGACATTCTGGCATTTTTAAAATGTATCATCATCTGGAGTTTGTCCAGACTATGAAATAAAAGTTATGTTTGTTTTTCTGATGAATGCCTAGATAGATTTATCTCACTATGCTGGATAATAAAACTTTTGTTGTACTTAAGATCTCTTATTTCCCAGATACAATTACTTGTTTTTACAGATAATAATATAGTCCTTCTTACCATTCCAAACCCTTTTTCGTACCTATTCTACTCCATTATTTTTTGTTCTTCCCTGTGGTAAACAATCAGTGTCTGTTAACAGGTAAGATTATGGGGGAATGGCTCATCTAAAAGATTAATAACTACACAAACTCATGTTTTTGATTGTTATTCACTTTTATATAATAATAGCAATTTTTTTCTCCTAGGTTCTTCTAAACACATTGATCCCCAGCTACCATGTCATATTACAATCCTAGAATGCTGTAGCTTAATAAAAGTGTGAGGGGCTGGGGATTTAACTCAGTGGTGCCACTACCTGCCTCGCAAGTGCAAGGTCTGGAGTTCGATCCCTGGTATCAAAAAAAACGAAAAAGAAAAGTGTCAAGCAAATTATCTTTACAGAAGGGAGCTATACAAATATTTGCTTATATATAAATAGGGAAATATAGCTAGTCAGTTTTAAAGTACATCCCAGTTTACTCTTTCTAGTCTAAATTATTTCTAAGATAATTCTGGCTTCGTTGTTTAAAAAGGGACTTGATCATTAGTAAAAGACAGAGATACAAGTTTTATTTCATTGGGTTGAGCTATGTACTTAGTCTCAATGAACCACCTTAATTCAGGGTTGTGCATCTCTATCTCTACTTAATATTAATATTCTGTTAAAGTTGTATATTACCTTGTATTCCTTATTATTCCATATTTATTTTATATGTATCCCATAGAACCATTTTTCCACATATTGATCAAAGACCTTCTCATTTTCTTAAAACCTATCCAGGTCTTCCTGAGCTTCTTCTAGCCCAAGCATACCCTATAACTGTTTAGCCTGGGTATTAGCCGAGAGCTCCCTATTTCTTGTAGTATCTCATTCCTTTAGGACTATAGGAGAAAAAGAATGGAATAACTAAGCCCTAGTGAATTCAGTATTTTGCTATTAGTCTCAAAAAACAATCATGGTTACTTCTAAGTAGACACCAGTATGTTATTAGCCATGAGGCACCTACCAACTCATTTATCTAATGCCTGGCCACCTTTCCAGACTGAACTCAGATATTCCCTTCTTCATGGTACTTGTCCACATCATCATCACCTTACTCTCACAGGTATAATAGCTACATAGTAAGTTCAAGGCCACCCTGAGCTACCAAGTTAGATCCTGTCTTAAAATAAAAGTCAGACCCAGAAAAGTGATGTATGGAGTATGTATATTCATATAAAAGTTCAGAAGAATAAAACTCACATTTCTAATGACAGAATCAAAGCTGTTACCTTTTGTGGGACTATTAACTAAGGGAGCTTTCTGTATCTTGATCTGGATAGTGATCACATGGGTGTGTACATATATAGAAATTGAGCTACACACAAGATTTATAAATTTTAAACCATACCATGATTTTAAAAATAGATAAAATATATTTAGACCTCCTGTCTTAGGAAACTTAACTAGATCTTTGGCTGAAATAATCTAATTTTAGTGCTGCTTAACCCAGTAACTTCAGCAAACAGGTAATTACTTAAAGTGTCCCTTTTTTCTGATAGAATTTTTTTTGTACCAGGGATCGAACTCAGGACCTTGTGCTTTCAAGGCAGACAGCAGAACCACTGAGCTAAATCCCCAAATCCCCAGGCCTTACTGATAGTGTAAACCTAGAATCAGTATTGAAAGTGTTACTACCACCTTACTTCAGTGTTTGCATAGTTGAAATCCTAAAGCATCTATCTCTGCATGGAGTTTTTAAGTCTTTTTTTAAAAAGCAAATATATTGAGCCATACTTTACATATTATAAAATCTACCCATTTCAAGTGTACAATTTAGTAATATTTAGTAAATTTATCAAGTTATGTAACTCTCACAGTAAATCAATTTTAGAGCATTTGCATCATGGCAATAAGATCCCTCATTTCTGAAGAATGTTGATCTCATTCCCACCTTTTTCCTAGGCAGCCACTAACCTATTTTTCTAACTATAATTTTTTAACATTTCATATAAATAGAATTATATGTATCTGGTTTCTTTCACTTATTGCTTTTGAGGTTCATCTTTGGTTTTAAAAAAAGTATCACTTTATTCTTCTTTATTGCAAGTAGTGTTCCAGTGTATGTTAAACCACATTTTTTTCTATCCATTTACACTAAATGGATATGTAAGTTATGATTCTGGGCTGTTGCCAATAGTGCTGTTATAAACATTTGTGCATAAGCCTATGAATGAACATATATTTTCATTTCTTTTCTTTTCTTTTTTTTTTTTTTGTGTGTGTGTGTGTACCGGGGATCAAGCTTGGGTCCTTGCACTTGGGAAGCAGGCAGCAGAACCACTAAGCTAAATCCCTGGCCCTGTTTTCTTTTCAACAGATACCTAGGAGTAGAATTGCTCTTTCATATGGTAAATTTGTATTTAACTTTTTAAGGAACTGCCAAACTATTTTTCAAAGTGGTTATGCCAGTTTACATTTCAAAAGCAATGTTTAAGGGTTTCTGCTCTTCTACATCTCCTTCACCATTTGTTATTAATATTTTATCTTTTATTGTAATTCTTCTAATGGCTGTGAAATGCTATTTTGGTTATGGAGTTTTTTGTTTTGTTTTATTTTTCACCTTTTTTGAGACAGGGACTATGTAATCCATGCTAGCCTTGAACTCACAATCCTTCTGCTTCAGTCTGCCAACTTCTGAGGCACCACTTCTCCCAGCTTGTTTTGGTTTTGTAGTGCTGGGGATCAAATCCAGGGTTGGTTGTAGTTTTAACATGTATTTTGCTAATACTTATGAGCTTATTTTATGTATAGATTTGCTATTTATGTATCTTCCCTAGTGAATTTTATATTCAAACCTTTTGCACATTTTCTGAGTGAGCTTTCTTCTTACTGAGTTTTAAGTATATGCTGTATGTTCTGGATACCAGTTTTGTCAGATACTGTGGTTGCCAATATTTTCTCCCAGTCTGTTGCTTGTTTTTCTTTTTTTCGTCACCTTTTTTTATGAGGTCCATTTATCAAAAAAAATTTTTTTTGTATTGTTTTGTTTTTTTCATTGAGTTTATTGGTACATTTTAGGTATACAATACAGTTACATTCATCATTGGGATCTTGTACCTTTACATGACAGTTCTTGGTTCTCATTTTTTCCCTTACCCCTACCCTCCCTTCACCCTCTCCTCCCCTATTTACAAATACTTTATTTCCATTTTTTTCATTTTCTCATGTTTTTTTTCTTTTCCCTTATTTCCTTTGCCCTACCCTTCCTACTTCCCCTAAGTGTTAGCCCTTTTCTTCCTATTTCACATTATCAATTATACCATTAGAATCTTATGTAACATTATAGTCAAAAAAAAAAATTTGTAACTTGTGCTTTGGGTGCCACTGCAGTGTTTATACCAAGCAGTATAAAACAGCGATTTCTCTGTGTTACTGGAGTTTGTTTAAGTATTGGGAAATACTTCCTTCCTGTGCATACTTAAATGTATTCTTCCTCTTTTTCTTCTCATTCTCCTTCCCATGTTAAAAAATTAAAATTGTAATGCTAAATTACTATGCCTGTAGATCTTAATTGTTATTTTTTTTGAACCAGGGATTGAACTCAGAACCTTGAGCTTGTGAGGCAGGCATGGTGCTCAGTGAGCCAAATCCCCGGCCCTCTTAATTGTTGATTTTTTTTCCCAACAGTGTGTCATCCC